CTTCATTAGCAACTGCTTCGATGCTGTTCAAGTCAGCACTGTCCTGGATCAGAAAGTTTCTGATTTGTTTGATCAGATTACGCAGGTCCTCGTTGCTCTTGTCCACCTTCTCTTTGGTGGTGTTTGTTTTCAGCAGAACCTCCTGAGCACTCTGCTTTGCTTCATCTGCTCTCAGTTTGGCTCCAGAGACCATCTTAGAGAGCTATTCCACCTCGGTCAGGGCACTCAGAACATCTCAAAGTCTATGGCTTTCTGCCAGGCGTTGTGTGCAACAGTGACCAGGCCCCTATAGCCAGGTCCCCCGCACTTCTGTCCGTGGTCAGTTCTGCAGTTTGGCCTGCCACACTCAATCTAGGAGCAGGAGGCCCCTGGAGGCGCTCCACAGGTCATCTCAGCTGCAGTGGAAAGGTCCAGGCTCTGCACTTTGCCCACCAGTTCATCGAGGAGGTGCAGCTGCTCCTCCTGCTTTTCCTTGAATTGGGACCCTCACTCCAGCATCAAGTCTTCTACTTTGAGTTTAGTTATCTTAGTTATCTTTTAGTTATCTTAGTGCTGCTATAACAGAAATACCATTACATTCCTTTAATAAACAGAAATTTAATTTTTTGAAGTTTAAGGGACTAGAAGTCTGGCAACATCAGTTTCCTCTGGGGTAAGATCCTTGTTTCTTCTGAGCTTTTACTACTAGGTTCTTTAGAGGTCAGATAGCTTGTATATTCCCCATCCATCTGTGCTTGCATTCTTAATCTGCTCTTTCATATCACAAAAGAGACACATTTAAAATAGTATTACACTAATATTCAAAACCTACATTCTGGGGAGCTCTGGTGGCCTAGTGGCAAGGAGCTGCAACTACAACCCCAGAGGCGAACGGTTCAAATCCACCAGATGCTCTGCCGGGGAAGGAGGGACAATCTCCTCCTGTACCAGTCAGATCTGATTTGACGGTACACGCACACAAAAAATAATAATAAAATAAATTTAAAAAAAACAACACAAAAAACCTACATTCTTCAATATAAATTCTATCTCAACATCAAGAAGATAAAAAACCTCACCACTAGGCCAATAAGCAACATCATGATAGATGGAGAAAAGAGCAATTTAATTTCACTTGAATTCACAACCAATACCCTTAACAACAGCAGTCAAGAAATCAAGAGACATATCTCAGGGTCAGCGCTGCCTACCCTACCTGAGAGGTCACACTATCAGGCACCATCACAGCTTCTGTAGCTAAGTCCAAGTGCTGGGTGCCACCATGGTCTTCTGCTGGCAAGAAGGAAATGATCAAATCATATTTGTGACCAAAAATGACCAGGAGAGTCTAAGCAATGAACAGCTGGTGGCTGATGGCCCCAAAGATCCATACGAGGAGCATGGATTAATTCTGCCAAATGGAGACATTAACTGGAACTGCCTGTGCCTCGAGGAACGGCCAGTAGCCCCTGTGGGGAACAGGTCAAGTCAGCCTTCTGCTTCCACTATAGGATAGAAGATGACAAGAGGTCAGACTTTGTAGACCAGTTCCAGGCCATGCAGGAATGCACTCAGAAATACCCAGACCTCGATCCCCAGGATGATGATGATGATGATGATGATGATGATGATGATGATGACAAGCAGCAGCCAGAAGGTTTAGAGGAAACAGCTCCAACTAGAGACTATTACAGCCAAAAAGGAGAGCTCAAGCTAATGAACACCACAGGCCCTGTGGTCCAGTCCTTCTATTTCAGATGGTATGGTTCTACGTAAAAATGCTTTTCAGTCACCTTCAGGCAAAATGTCTCTTTTGTTCTGTGTACTCTAATGTACAAAATAACATATTTTGAGGATCAGTGGTCTTGATCCTTTTACAGATACACTGAAAAAAAATACAAAATAGGTGGTTTATATGTATATCCCATGTAAACCTATCTGTGAATGTAGCTGTCATTTTTGAATTATCATTTCTCAGATTTTCCTGGATTTTACCACTTTGAAATAATGTTTAGAATATTCTTGGCAACCAAAAAATCATTACCCACGTGGGGGTGGGGGTGGGGAGAAAAATTGCATTGGGTAAATCTGTTGTCAAGGACTTCTCTAAGATGTTAAGGAACAATGATGTCAGTTTAAAGACTGAGGTGCATCTAATTCAAGTCTCAATTTCTTGTCTTTTCAATTACTTGTTATGCATCTGAAAGTTGGAAAGTGAACTAAAAATGACAGAAGAAGAATTGGTGTCTTTGAGTTGTGGTGTATGAAGGAGGGTACTGAAAGAATTGCCAAATATGTCTTCTAGAAAATGTAACCAGGGCACTCTTTGGGAGATAAGAATGGTGAAGATTCCTTTCATATATTCTGTATATGTTGTTAGGAGAGGTTGGTCCTTGGAGGAGGACATCATTCTTGGAAAGGTGCAGTATCAGCAAAAGAGAGGAAGACCCTCAATGAGATGGATTGCCAAAGAGACTGTAACAATGAACTCAGTCTATCAGAGATTATTGCACATCTCTGATCAGCAGGAAAGTGCTGGGTGATTGGAATGAACAACTCAAGACTAGTCAAGAGGTAAAGGGAGAGGAACTCATGGTTGAGTGTTCTCTTGACCTCACATCTTCATGCTTTTATTGAGAAGTTTCTTACTACATATATAGTAAAATATGTTAACAGGACTCCAAGATTTTCTTTTTACAATCTTTTTTATTGTGATTTTAATGAAAGTTTACAAAAAAGTTGGATTTTCATTCATTCACTCTTGCACATTTTCCTCCCTACTACCTCCAGTTCACTTTAAAAAAAAATCTTCCCTTGCTCCCCATCCCCAAGACCACTTTGCTATGAATCTCTTATTCTGGACTGTTGTCATACAAATTTCTAATCATATATTCCTTTAAAACAGTTCTTTCTGAGTCACCGCATGCCTTGTCAGCAGCTATGGGTCTGTTGCAGTCAATTAACTAGGTACCTGTATAAAAAATTCCTTAGTGTGGCCTGGACTGCTCTCCTACCTGGAGCACTAGACACAGACCTCACTGCCTGAAGGTCCCAGGCCCCTCTGTCTGGTGGCCCTAGTCTTGCCTCCTGGACCCCCAAACCTGCTGCCTGGATGCTCCCACCAGCCACCTGGACGCCTGGGCACCCATGCTTGGAGAACCTGCTCCCACAGCCCTGCTGCTGGGATGCTCCTGTCCACTAGCCCCACCACCTGGAGGACCTACCTCTGCTGCCTGGACACCCAATTGTCGAGAGGACAGCCTGCTGCCACCCTTCTGAACTGCACCAGGGACTCCAATATCATAGGTAATCCCATTTCCTCTCCTCTCCCAGAGCTTGAGCTGCCTTTAGCCTTGGGTGCCTTGGACACATCTGCCTAGGTGTAGCAGTTTCCTGGCAGAGAAGACTGTTAACTCACAGGCCATGTCTCTCCCCAACTGAAGGAAGCCGTCCCTTGAGTCAAAAGCTTAGAGAGAAACTAAGGCAGGATAGCTGCCCTGTCCTCCTCTAGAGCAGGGACTTCCTGAGCCTAGGTTTTCAGACAAAGAGCCCATTAAGGCCCCAGGCATGAAAAACTCTACCACAGCAATGTCACAGAATTAGCAGAATACCTCATACCCTACACAAACCCAAAACAAGATGTCACTTTCCCAAAATTACACAGTATCAATGGATTCCTGGAAACCAGAATCTATGACAACAATCCAGATAAAACAAATGAGGCATTAGAGGGTCTGGAAAAACAAGAGACCACAATCCAGAATATAAGGACCAATATTTCAGGTGCTGCCAACATGTTGGAGGAATATGGATAGCTCAGCATAGCCTAGCCTCAGCTGAGATCACAGTCCAGGCAGAAATGAGAACCCTCTGCAAACAGAGAATTCTGCCTAGCCTCCCACTAGAGGGGATACTGTGTCTGAATTTTGGACTGGGTTTAAGAATTAAGCTTGTCCATTATGCTGGCAACATTTATATATAGGGAAAATACAGCCTCATGAGATAGGCATTTTTAATAGGCTTAAGTTAAATACAAACCACAAGAAGACTGAGAAAGATGCATTTTCACAGTGCTAAGCTGTAAGAGGACCTCTGCCTTAGCATTCCTCTTCCTCAGAATTCTTTTCCTCATACCCCCATTTTCTTTCTGCATCTGGTTAACAACATATGAACAGAGCTAAAGGGATGGAACACAGAACCAGTGAAATAGAAGATAGAATTGTCACCACTGATCTGCTAGAACAAAAAGCAGAATTAAAAAGGAAGAAAACGTAAGAATAAAGTGGGAAACCATCAAGACAAATAACATGCACGTAATGGAAATTCCAGAACAGGAAGAAGCAGGTAAAGACACTGAGAAAGTTGTGGAAGTATTACTAGAAGAAAACTTTCCAGGCATAATGAAGAATGAGATAATATATATTCAAGAAGCTGAGAGAACACTATACAGAATAGTCCCTAAAGGAAAATCACCAAGGCATATTATAGTCAAATTCGCCAGAAGGAAAAAAAAGGGGGGGGGGAAGAGAATGCTGAAAGCAGCGAGGGAGAAACAAAGAGTAACCTAAAAGAGAGAGTAAATATGATTAAGTGCAGAATTCTCAGTAGAAACCATGCAATCAAGAAGATGGTGGAATAACATAGATTGAACACTTAAAGAATACAACTGTCAACCGAAAATATTGTATTCTGCAAAACTATCCTTCAAATATGGAGAGATCAAGATATTATCAGAAAAGCAGAACCTAAGGGAATTTGTAAAAACAAGACCAACATTGTAGGAAACACTGAGAGGCGGTCTTCTGACAGAGGTGCCACAGAAAGCAGGATGAACCAAAGTAATCGGAGTAATCGGCAGCAACACCAAGAAGAACTCAACTAAATGATAGTGATAAAACCTAGCCTCTCAATAATTACACTGAATATGAATCGCTTACATGCACCACTTAAGAGAAAAAGAGTGGCAGATTGAATAAAAACCCCCAGAACTAAACAACCCATCAATACACTGTCTATAAGTCTCACATCTGAAAAGTGAAGATAAGGAAAGACTAAAAGAGTGGGGGGAGGCAGGGAATACTAAGCAAATGGCAACCAGAAAAAATCAGGAGTAGTAATATTAATCTTTGATAAAATAGATTTTAATGCAAAAACCATCACAAAGGACAAGGAAGGTCGCTACATAATGCTTAAAAGGTCAATAGAACAAGAGGACATAACAATAATAAATATCTATGCACCAAATGAAAGACCTGCAAAATATACAAAGCAAACATTAACAAAACTGAGTAAAGAAATACTATAGTATTAGGAATCTCCACTATACCACTCTCAAGAGAAGATAGAATTACCAGAAAGAAACTCAACAAAGATGCTGAAGAATTAAACCTCACAATAAACCAACTTGATCTCATATACAGGCTAATGAAAAAAAAAAGCACTGTATACCTTCTTCAATGTGCATGGAATGTTCTCCAGAATAGATCATATTTTAGGTCACAAGGCAAGCATTAATAAATTTAAAAGCTATAGAAATAATACAAAGCAACTCAGACCACAATGCTATAAAATTAGAAACTAATAACAAGAGGATAAAGAAGGGAAAAAACCCATACATTGGGAAGCTGAACAACACCTTGCTTGAACAAGAGTGGGTAATAAAAGAAACAAAAAATGAGATTAAAATGTTTCCTGAAACAAATGACAATGAAAACAAAACTTAGCAAAGCCTCTGGGAAATAGCCAAGGCAGTAATTAGAGGTCAATTTATAGCAATAATCACACACATCAAAAGGCAAGAATAAAATTATAATTGACTCTCTTTGTCAACATCTCCAACAAATTGAAAAAGAGCAGCAAGAAAACTCGGAACTGAGTTTTAAAAAACCTGAAATTATAAAAATTATGGCAGAAATAAATTAAATTGAAAACAGAAATAAAATTGAAACCATCAACAAAACCAGGAGTTGGTTCTTTGAAAAGGTCAATAAAATTGACAAACCACTAGGAAAACTAACAAAGGAAAAGAAAGAAAAGACACAAATAATCCAAATAAGAGATGCGAAGGACAGTGTCACAACAGAACCAACTAAGAGAAAAAGTTTAACAGTGGGATATTATGAGAAACAAATAAAAATTAAAAACAAATATTAAAACCTAAAAGAAATGGACAAATGCTTAGAAACTCACAATTTACCTAATCTGAAAGAGAATGAAATTAAACATCTGAATAGACCCATTATAAAAGAAGAAATTAAAAAGGTAATAAAACAACTTTCAACAACAACAAAAAAAGTCCCGGACCAGATGGTTTTACAAGTTAATTTTACCAAACATTCAGAGAAGAATTATCACCAATCTACATATTTTAGAAATTGGAAAAAAATGGAATTCTCCCAGTCTCATTCTATAACTCATTCTAATAACAACAACATGGGTTTTTTGTTGTTGTTGTTGTTTTAATTTAGGTTGTTTATTTTTCATTTCAATGAACAT